CTTCCCATCAACTCGTCCCCTTTCAAATTTATGGTCATCAAAGTGTTTCTGCAAGCAGAGAGAAGGAGATAAAAACAGTCAACATAGAATAAATACATGTAATTCCCTGTACACAAATTTCAGTAATTTATTATTCATTATGTGACCTCTTTTTCTCAATCAAAATTTGGTAAAATTTTGGAAAAGGGTAGGTCACACATTAAACTGGCGGATTTCTACACAATTACATTAATTTAACCCACACACACACCAATATGTCTAGATATCTACTATGGACAATGGACAGTCGTCTGCATTACTTAGTATTAGTTTACTTAGTAAATTTGGCCCAAGGATACAAGAGCTGTCTACATTTGCACATTTGTACATGTCGCATTATCTTATGTTATATGTTTATTCTTTTCAACAGAAAAATTAAACAGGGTGGGTTTTCTTTTTTTCTTAAACAAAAATTAGCACAGACGTATTCGTATAATTCTACACTTCAAATTTCACACAATAATTAGATAGAATTAGAAGTATATGACTCTAACACATGCTTCTTATGGAAACTGTTATTGTGCCCTGCCCGCCTAAAATGTCCAAATTTATTAATGATATAATTTTGACATGACTACACACACTGTACTTACCTCACACAGACGCGATGACGAGGTCGGTTTCCATCCTTCGCGACTGACTTTACTCACCCAAATTTTTCTCCTTCTTGGATCTGCAGGATCCTATACGTTTTGTATCCCTGCTCTAATCTATTACTGCACCCAAAGGCGCAGCAACCAGTCATAATGACAATTTATTTTCCATACTAATAGCAGAAAAGTACGGAATACGCTCACAGAAAATAAAAAGCTGCTGCTTAGGTGGAACGAAAATGGCTCCTTAGTCCTTGCGTCACGTGACCTGATTTTCGCGGTGTCCCGTAGAGTTTGGACGCTCGCCCGAAACTGGATGCTCATAAATGCGCATGCGTGCATGCTCTTGTTTTTCTCTTGTTTACTTTTTGTTTGACTCTTTATTTGCAGGGCCGTAGGAAATAGTAGCCGTGCTCTTTTGTTTTCTTTTTTTTTCGCCTTGTAACCTGACACACATAACACAGTCTTACTAACTTACTACATTGCAAATTGTTTCAATGAAATGTTTCCATGAGTGACCGGGTTGGCCGCCATGTTCGTTTATTGCGACCGTTTTCGATGGACGAGATGCGCAGATGACTATACTGCGCATGCGCCCTTGCAAAACAAGAGGTGCCTGCGCGCATGCGCACTTAGGAGTGTCCAGTTTCGGACGAGCGTCCAAACTCTACAGTACAGCGTGACGCTCATGTCGCAACTCTCTATATTAAGGGACTCTAAGAAGACCTATCGGCACTAGTCATAAGATTACAACAAACGTTCGTTTGCCAAACTAATTCTAAAATTGCATGTTTTGGTGAATACGAAGGTTCTAAGACATTTTAAGTGTCGTAAAAGTGGGGAAAACACTGGAGAATTCTCGTAATTAGTACTTTAAATTAAAAAAAGCAAAAACAATTGCCTATAGATACCTCTTGTTTATATATAGTCTCTCACTTCTTGTAGATATTTCAATCAACAAATCACTATAGTGATTGACTATAGAAATGTGTCAGAGTAATGTCGCCGTTGCCATGGTGATTTGGTCACATGACTCATCGAGTTTACGTGTATCTATACTCTGAAAAACCTGCGACACACTAACATTTAGAAAAGTTCACTCTTCGTTGTGTAGTCCTGTCCTATTAAGTATAACTCGTGATTTTTAGTGCCATGCCTGCAGCAAACGAATCTGAGCGACTTCATCTCTTTGTGAGGCAGGAGAAGTTATCCGGGGTCTCTATTTTTTGTCTGCAGGAAAGTGGACGACTGAGAGAGGAACTTGCATCGGGGAGGAAAGTGAGAGAGGAACCTGCTTCGGGGAGGAAAGTGAGAGAGGAACCTGCTTCGGGGAGGAAAGTGAGAGAGGAACCTGCACCGGCGAGGAAACTAAGAGAGGAACCTCCATCGGGGAGGAAAGTGAGAGAGGAACCTGCATCGGGGAAGAAAGTGGGAGAGGAAACTGCATCGGGGAGGAAAGTGAGAGAGGAACCTGCATCGGGGGGAAATCGTGATCTCGATCACCGCCTGCTCGATGGAACCTTCTCCCCTTCCTTCTGCTTCTTCTTCTCCTATTCTTTCTCTTCCTCCTGGTCCTTCTCTTTCTCTTCCTCCTCCTCCTGCTCCTCTTCCTCGTCCTCCTCCTGCTCCTCCTGCTCCTCCTCGCTCAGACGTGCAGAGCGAAGCAAGGGAGAAACCGTACGCGTGTGACTTGTGCGAGTACAGGACGTGCTCCCACTACAGGTTGAAGACTCACATGCGAACGCACACGGGAGAGAAACCGTACGCGTGTGAGACATGCAGGTATCGGAGCTCTCAGCTCAGTGGCTTACAGGCGCACGTACGCACGCACTCGGGAGAGAAACCGTACGTGTGCGACATATGCGGTTACACTTGCGCCACCTCCAGCATCTTCAAGACGCACTTTCTCACGCACACGGGCGAGAAACCTTACGCGTGTGATGCGTGCGAGTACAGGACTTGCTCCCGCGGCAACCTGAAAAAGCACATGCGAACGCACACGGGAGAGAAACCGTACACGTGCGACATATGCGGCTCCGCCTACACCACCTCCACCGACCTCAAGAAGCACTTTCTCACGCACACGGGCGAGAAACCGTACGCGTGCGATGTATGCGAGTATAGGACGTGCTCCCGCGACAACCTGAAGAAGCACTTTCTCACGCACACGGGAGAGAAACCGCACGCGTGCGATGTATGTGAGCACAGGTGTTCTCAGCTGGCGAGTCTCAAGAGACACGCGCGCACGCACACGGGAGAGAAACCGTACGCGTGCGATGTATGCGAGTACAGTTGTTCTCAGCTGGAGAGTCTCAAGAGACACGCGCGTACGCACACGGGAGAGAAACCGTACGCGTGCGATGTATGCGGGTACGCCTACACCTGCTCCAGCAACCTCAAGAAGCATTTTCTCACGCACACGGGGCAAAAACCATACGCTTGTGACATCTGCTCTTTCAGGTTCGTATCCTCGAGCGACCTCTCGAGACACAAGCGCACGCAGTCGCACCAAAGAAAGGCTATGTACAAGCAATCGGGAGAGAAACCGGGAGTGATGTGATGGACGGGTCTGCGGGTTAAACAGCTAATTCGTCAGACGTTAAACGTGTGGATACGGATGCACTCTCTCCAGTAGACACCAGTGACGTAGACTCAGGCTTGTATAAGAGAAGAAATGCTGTGCATGCAATCAGGGGTGATGTGACTGACATTCTACCGATTAAACAGTTAATAAGCCAGTTCGTAGTTGCGCACTGGAGCCCTATGACGTCATCGGGTCATAGGTCATTTGTACATAGCTGAAACGTTGGATCGCGCGTTCGCTCACACGCACTTGCTGTATACTACATAATATGCATGAATGTTATACAGAAGCTATGTAAAATCGTGCGTGCATTTGTTTTCTGTACTGAACCGATCGACTATCTGCCTGTGCTTTTTGTTTTTTGGGATTTTTACGTGTGTATGATATTCATTGTGGGGTATTTTAGGTAGATATGCAGTGTCGGTTCTTCTCGGTCAGTCAGTTAACTGCAGGTCAGTTCAGTCAGTCTTGGTCATATCATTTATTTATGGTTGTCTTTTTGCTCCCTGGATTTCTTAATTCTAATACAACAGAAATGCACACTCAGACATACATGTAATTAACTTGCAAAGCATTATATTGATTAATGTTTAATGCACATCTAACTACATGTATATGAACAAGGAGGAATGTTAACCTCTAAATACATTGTACAAGCAATTAAAGCAATGAAAATAGGGAGATTGTGTACGTGTATACTTGTATGAAACCTGCAAATGTGATAATTTATAATGTAGCAAGTTTAAAAAATAGCAATGAAATAAATGCGTTTCCATTTTAGATACAGCAGGGAATAAACATGTATCATAATTTCTTATATTTCTTATTATTAATATCTATGAAAACCTTTAATTTAAGTACTATTTGATATTAATAATAAAAAATATATGCGTGACTCCTGTTTCATGTGTAAATGGTATTTTAGCTGGCAGAGTATGGACACATATTGTAATCAAAATACTAATAACTGAAATAGTATGCATTCAAACAATGTTATGTTTATTAATGAATGCTATTTAATTATTGAATGTTCGTTGCTTTATTAATTATATAATTGAGAATGAGATTTAACTGCATGTGTATGAATGATGCAATGAGAAAATGGTGATGGAGACGTCAGATGTTCATGATGACAATTACAGAAACTTTGGTGAGGATGAAAAATATTAAGGAAACCTTTCAATAAATGATGGACTTAAAATAGTTTTAGAATGTCTTAATTCTCATGTGTACAAATAGCTACTAGGTAAACTCGAAAGTTGTTCACACATGCATCTTTACGTTATTTGCATAATTAGTACTGAAATCATTCCATGGATCGGCAAGACTCGGAAAAAGGAAGGGGGTAATGTAGCGGTCAAGGGTCGATACATGTTATTTGTTCAATTTTGTTGTCTGTTACTTAGTTGATAAATGGAAAAATGCTTGGTTATAATTGATATCCTGCCTTTTACGTATAGGGATACATGTTTATAACGGACTCGGCAAGGCTCGTACGAGGGTTCACAACAAAAGCGGTCTGCCCAATAATATGCTAAAAAAACCGCGTGACTTCATACAATTCAAATACAAAAAGAACAATACTGAAAACGCATCGCGCAGTGACGCCCGGACGGCTTGCAACAACGGGCGGGTACTCACCCGTTGCGAACAACACCGTACGCAACCCCA